AATGTCTTAACTGAAACATTGGAGTTGGCTTATCGGCGAGCAAATATTGCCCAACATAATTTACACACCAAAAGTCAGGGGAGTGAGCGGGATGGGAATAGGTATAGGCCCAGGCGCGCAACAACAATTGTGCAAACAGAATGCAGTCAACCTTTTTGCCTGGCAAACAGAGCCAAGATGTCTGGATAATTAACGCTAGTCAAAAGTTGGGCGGCTTGGGCGGGAGCGAGGGGCGAGGGGCGTGGGCTGGGAAATTTCGGCGTAATTGAGTGGCTTATTGACTTGGGGCATATTTGTAGTACGAATTACACACATATTTGTGTGCGCTTCAGCCGCCTTTGTCATTTTTGACCGGAGCTGGGGAGAGAAAACGCAATCACAAGCCTAGAATCCTGTCGAACCGGTTTTATAAATAGATAAGCGCATAAAAACAACGTTCATTACGCAAGAATGTGCCCTAAAACGATGCAGCCAAGTGCCTAAGTTTTTGTTCGGGAGGAGCAGCAGCAACAGCGAAAACCTGAAATCTGCATAGAGCAAGATTAATTAACTCGCCCCGCCGGACGATCAGCCACGTTGCACAGCAAGGACGGCAGCATCGGGAGCCACTGCAGCAGCAGCAGCAGCAGCAACAATCCGCAGCAACTCGTGCGAGATCTTTGGCAGCAGCCACAACTGCAGCAGCTTCAGCTGCGCGAAGAAGGACAGCACCTGTATTTGCATCTTAAGAGTCTGCAGCATCAGCAGCAGCGTCCGCATCTGCAGCAGCACCAACTGAATAGCTCAAGTAAAGCGAACCCTTGCTGCAGCAGCTACAGGATGCGGCTCTTCGCCAGCAGTGGCCAGGCTGCAACATCGCCAGCACTGGCCCACAGTTCCAGCGACGAGGCAGGGGAGGTGATTGAGAATTCCCACACCAGAGGAGCAGGATGCGCCGTGCTGCACAGCAGCGGGGCAAAATCAAGGTCGCTGGAGAGGTACGCTGGGGCGCCCAAGATCCACCAGCAGACGTTGGAACTGCTGCCGCCATATGCCACGCCCACGTGCAGCACGCGTCGCCGACTGCTCGCCCCCTTCCGATCCCTGAAGCGCCGCAGTCGGAGCAGCAGCAGCAGCAATGAGTCGCACCACTTCGGCAACGGCAACCAGCTCGACAACCTGGTGGTGGTTAATGTTGGGGCGGCCGCCGCACATGGGGGCGTGGCCAAGGCCAAGGCCAAGGCCAGCTCGCAAAGCGGTGACAGTGGAACCGGCGGCACCGAGCTGGAGCACGAAATGGAGCAGGACGATGACGAGGAGGATGAGGACGAGGAGGAGGGCGAGGAGTTGGACGGACTGAGCCTTAGCTACTCCCAGCTGAGCAGCAGTGGCTGCGAGGAAGCCGAAGCTCCGCCAGGAGATGTTGCTGTTGATCGACAAGCGGCAGCGGTGGCAACAGTCGCCTCCTGCGTGCAACTTGTTGCCAATGAGCGGCGACGCAACATCCTGTCGCTGTACTCCTCCTCGTCGGAGGAGCAGCTCCACTGCCGCCTGGGCGACATCACGCTGGTGGACGACACCTACTCCAACTGCGATCCGCAGAACGATGCCGAGCGCATGTTCCTCCAGGTTGTCGGAATCTTGCGCGATGAGAATGAGGTTTGTGTACTGGCTAACAGTGGTTGGCCGAAATATAGGTCACGTCTCTGAAATTTATGTTGCTTTATGGAGTCGAACTCAGTACGATTTTCAGATAACTATGTGATAAAAGTATGAGAAAGGAAAAAGTTAAAATTCATATTATAGTTCATGGGTTTTTTCGCAACCCACAAGTCGCAGAGAAAAATATTTTTTAATATGCGTGCAATCAGAAATACAGAAGTCATTCATTTTAATGCATAATTTTAATTAAAGAATCCTTGCCTGCCCTCCGCTTATCCATCTCTTTTTCAGCATTTCCTTTGAAATCTTGATTAATTTCCACCCACAGACATAAAAGACTCGTTTTCGTTGTTGGTCGTGCTTTACCCAAGTAGATGTGTCCTTGCCAAAAAAGGAAATGGCAAACTGCTAACCGAGTTTTCTTTTCTCTCCGTAATTCCCCGCTTTTCCCCACCGCCTTCTATGGATACAACTTTTTCAGTCTCACTTGCAATTTCAATTAATTAATGCAAGCTAGGATTTCCGTTTTGAGCTTCACTGAGCAAGGGGTAAAGTGAAGGGGGAGTAAGTCAAGGCGGAGGGAGCAACAGTTGGATAAAATAATTGATTTACCTGCAGAATTATTCTCATCTCTCGCTTTGCATTCATCGCCTGGCAAAATGTCAATTTAAGGCATACATTTCTGCCATTTCTGTGGCATTTACCTCCTGTGCCAACACAAATCATTTTTAATAAGCTCTGTGGGCGATGCGAGCTCTACACTGGCAAAAATCAGTGCCATTTTTTCGTTCTTTTATTTGCATTTGCCAAAAAGAACAAAACGCATTTTACTGACTTACAACTTTAAGGGATGCCTTCCTTTTTCGTGCACTAATTAACTTCATTACTTGAAAATACAATGAAAATACTTGAAGAGTACAATGATTTTTCTGCTGTGCTGCTCTGCGTGCTGCCATAGAAAATAAGGCGGCAACATTTGCTTTTTATTTAACCAAGTTCCCCGCTCGACAGCCGCAGGTGAGGCGCACAGCCCAGGAATTGTTATGGAGTCAAGCGGATGGTATTAAATTACACAGAGTTGCACTTTTTAAGTACACGCCATGGACAAACGCCCCGCAACTATGGCCACCCAATGCCGAGCTCCTCGTTGGCAATCCTTGTTGCCAGGATTCCCTTTGGCAGAGGCCCACAATGCATGAAGCCTTCTTCGCCGTCGTTGCCGCTGATTAAACTTCTTCCAAGGAGGCAGCTTTAAAAGTGCATTGCCCTCTTATCAGCGAGCCACCCCATCGCCACCCACATGCAACTGCAACCCAACCCCCTGAGTTTTTACCCAGCGACTTGGATGGCAAACAGCTTTCTTGTCTCTTTGTGGCGGGGCCACTTTGTTGGCTTGTTGCCACTAATTAATGGAGGAGCAATGAGTGAGGGGCTGCATATTTATTGTAAACAACAAATTATTGATTGCCAGCGACAAGTTGGCCCAGCCTTTGGGCGCCTTTGTTGGCTGCGTTGCCCGCTCCGCTAATTAAAAATAAATGCGAGGCAGCTCAAAGCAGCCACACAAAGGATTTCAACTGAAGTTGCGCGCAGTGCAGCGGGAAATAATTTGTGTGCTTAATTAGCAGCGGAGGTGAAAAAATGAAAATAAGAACGCTTTCCTTTGAGTTGTGTGGGAAAAGATAATGAGCAGAGCAGAAACTGCCGAAGAAGCTTACTAAAATTAAATATTTATAGTGAGGAGGGTTAATTACAGAAATAATACCTACTCTTTTGTGGTCCTATTAAATCCATTTATTTATATGAATGTGTTTATAGATATCGGAAAGAGTTTTCATGCAATACGAGTATATTTGGTAATTATTATAGGCCCTATCTTTATCTGCTGCAATACGGCCCGAAATAGATTATTTATTTAGCCTAGCTTTAAAGGCAGAGCAACAATTGCCCCGGGAAATGCCACAAACAAGAGCTGCAGCCTGGATGCAAACAGCCCAGCCAAACACATGGACAACTGGCTGTGCAAGTGCATTATGGGGCATAAACTTGCCCCGGGAGCCACAAAGAGTTAAAGGCTGGAAAAGCTAGGGCTAAAGTTCCAAATCAAAAACACAAACTCCAAGAAAACTAAATTAAAAAACTACACAGAAGCCGAAATGGCGGAGGCGGGATCCGAAAAGAGAGTTGAGGGATCCTGGGAAAACTAAATGAAATAATAAAGAAAACGAACAAGGGGCGGATGGGGGGGACTGAAGTCCTGGGCTGGTCCAGGACTTCTTTCTCCTTGCGGGGTGCTGAAAGTTTTGCTTTGCCAAGGTAAATGCATTTTGCTTGTTGCATGCAAAACGGCAGGCAATGAAAGTTTCTGTTGCCGGGTTATGGAAATGGAAAATGCTGGGAAGTGGCAATGGGGAACGGAAAATGGAAGTTGGGAAATGGGAAGTTGGGAAATGGGGTGTCAAGGTAAAAATTGAAAAGCGAAAATTTTCCCGGGGGAGCGGGCGAGCGAAAATGGGCCAAATGAAACGTGCGCAGATGTTGCTCCTTGCCTCCTGTTGCTCCTTTTCCAGCGCTCCTGCCTTTTCCAGCTTAGAGTCACAAAAGCGCCAAATTGGCGGGGAGTGAAAAAGGAGCAGGAGGTCCTACGTGCAGGGACTTTTCGGCAGCGCAGTGCATACAAAGGACATCAGCGTTGAGGCGCAAGCTGCCTGCTTTTAACTGCTAATGAAGAAGCAACTCACTTCGCAGCACACACTTCAAAAAACATACAAAAGCCAGCGATGCGAAGGGGTTAAGTGGCACAGCTGTATCTGATTCGCAGATACTTGCCAAAATATAAAGGTTGCGTTGGGTAGTAGTGTTTAAAAAACGAAGTAGTCTGTAGTAGCTTACACTTAATGCGGCTTTAAAATCACTCAGGATGCTTTGTTTTGTAAAAGTAGATTACTTGAATATAAAAGCGCTCCTTAGGAACATCAGGACATCAGCATGCACAAAAAGAGGTGGGGATAATCGGCCTGGCCAACTAATCCGCTTTAATATACTAACCGGAACTGATTGGCATTAGATCTCATATTCTCCGGCCAGTCTGGGCCAACATTTTAATCCCCTTACGATGGGCATAAAAAGCCGTAACTGCAACGTGAGCTCAACTAAGCTCATAATCGTAATTAAATTAAAGTTGAGGCGCCTGCAAGTAGGCATTAAAAAGTGTTTGTGGTGCGGGGGAAACTGAGCCGCGGGCTCAAAGGGAATATTACATAAAGGATGCCAGGCAAAACAATATGGCTAATTACGTATTACTTCTTCAACCAGCAAGTTCGCTTGAATTAATTTCCCTGCTTGGCTTGTGCTTGCAGAAAATGCGTCAGTTCCAGAAGATCCTGGAGGATCTCAGCTCCCGCGTCGCCCTGGCTGAGCAGACAAAGACCGCCTGGCTGCCACCCTCCTCCGTGGGCGAGGCCAATGAGCAGATGCAGCAGCTCCAGCGGCTGAGGGACAAGATGACGACGGCCAGTGCGCTGCTGGATGACTGCAATGAGCAGCAGTCCTTCTTCACCGCCAACCAGGTGCTGGTGCCCACGCCCTGCCTCTCCAAGCTGGAGGACTTGAACACGCGGTGAGTTTGGCGCTGGGTTTATTAGTACACTTTGCTTACTGGGCTGTTCAACTCGACAGCATGAAACTCCTGCAAATCGCCATGGACGAGCGCCAGAAGGTCCTTTGCCAGGCTGGAGCCCAGCAGACGCACGAGAACGGCGACGACGGACGCACCACATCGAACAGCGGCACCATTGGACCACTGCCCAATCTCGGCCAGAGCGTAAAGCCGCCCTGGGAGCGCGCCACCACAGCCGCCAATGTGCCTTACTACATCGAGTGAGTATAGGGGAAACCACAGTAACAGCCGTAATATATTAAAACCCCCTTTGAACCGCAGCCACGAACGCGAGACCACGCACTGGGACCATCCGGAGATGATCGAGCTGATGAAGGGCCTGGCCGATCTCAACGAGATACGCTTTTCCGCCTACAGAACGGCCATGAAACTGCGTTCCGTTCAGAAGCGACTGGGTGAGCTTAGCCTGGAGCACTTTTGCTGTTGGCGGTAACTCAATTTTGGCATCTCCCAATAGCTCTCGACAGGATCAGCATGTCCACCGCCTGCGAGTCCTTCGATCGGCATGGCCTGCGCGCCCAAAACGACAAGCTAATCGACATACCCGACATGACCACGGTGCTGCATTCGCTCTACGTGACAATCGATAAAATTGATTTGACGCTGATGCTGGACCTGGCCATCAACTGGATCCTGAATGTGTACGACTCGCAGAGGACCGGCCAGATCCGAGTGCTCAGCTTCAAGGTCGGACTGGTCCTCCTCTGCAAGGGCCACCTGGAGGAGAAGTATCGCTATCTGTTCCGCCTGGTGGCAGATACTGACCGACGGGCGGACCAGAGGCGACTGGGGCTGCTGCTGCACGACTGCATTCAGGTGAGTCAATTTAGTTGCTAGTTTAGCTGCTAAGTTATTGCAGAAATAAAGTAGTTTATTACGATTAGCTAACTTTAATTGGGCTGTTTATCAATGAAAATTAAAAGCCTCTAAAGATATCCATTGCTTTTCGCTGGCAGCGGTTCAAATTATAAAACATAAGAAAAATTAAACACCCTTTATATTTTCAGGTACCCCGCCAACTAGGCGAAGTAGCCGCCTTTGGTGGCTCCAACATAGAGCCCTCGGTGCGGTCCTGCCTGGAGCAGGCTGGCATCTCGCAGGAGGCCATCGATGGCAACCAGGACATCTCCATCGAGCTGCTGCACTTCCTCGGCTGGCTGCAGCACGAGCCGCAGAGCCTCGTGTGGCTTCCGGTGCTCCATCGGCTGGCGGCGGCGGAGGCGGCCAAGCACCAGGCCAAGTGCAACATATGCAAGGAGTACCCGATCGTGGGCTTCCGCTACAGATGCCTCAAGTGCTTCAACTTCGACATGTGCCAAAAGTGTTTCTTCTTCGGCCGCAACGCCAAGAACCACAAGCTCACGCATCCCATGCACGAGTACTGCACCACGGTGAGATACTCTATTGCTTAAAATGTTATATTTTCGCTAATCTTCTGGCCTTATCCAGACCACATCCACCGAGGACGTCCGTGACTTTACTCGCGCCCTGAAGAACAAATTCAAGAGTCGCAAATACTTCAAGAAGCACCCAAGAGTGGGTTACCTGCCCGTTCAGAGTGTTTTGGAGGGTGGGTTTCTTGATGTTAACCAAAACTGATGCCATTTCATTATGAATATACCCAAATCTAGGAGATGCGCTGGAGAGCCCGGCGCCCAGCCCGCAGCACACAACCCATCAGCTCCAGAACGACATGCACTCCCGCCTGGAGATGTACGCCTCCCGGCTGGCTCAGGTGGAGTACGGCGGAACGGGCTCGAACTCCACGCCGGACAGTGATGACGAGCACCAGCTGATCGCTCAGTATTGCCAGGCTCTGCCCGGGACCTCAAATGGAAGTGCGCCGAAGTCGCCGGTCCAAGTGATGGCCGCCATGGATGCCGAGCAGCGGGAAGAACTGGAGGCTATCATACGCGATCTCGAGGAGGAGAACGCCAACCTGCAGGCGGAGTACCAGCAACTGTGCAGCAAGGAGCAAAGTGGCATGCCCGAGGACTCCAATGGCATGCAGCACTCCAGCTCCAGCATGACGGGTCTCTCTGGCCAGGGCGAGCAGGGCCAGGTGAGATTTTGGATTGCCTTCTCTGCTTTCCCCAAGCTAACTTCCTTTACTTCATTCCGCAGGACATGATGGCGGAAGCGAAGCTGCTGCGTCAGCACAAGGGACGCCTGGAGGCGCGTATGCAAATCCTGGAGGACCACAATCGCCAGCTGGAAGCCCAGCTGCAGCGACTGCGCCAGCTTCTAGATGAGCCCAATGGCGGTGGCAGCAGCGCCACCAGCAGCGGCCTGCCCAGCGCACCCGGCTCCGCCTTGAACTCCAAGCCCAACACCCTCCAGACCCGCTCGGTGACCGCCTCGCAATTGAACACGGACTCACCGGCAAAGATGAACCAACAGAACGGCCACTACGAGCACAACTCAAGTGAGTGGCTGGGATTAAATGATTGAGTGGCGCTTTGTGTGGCAATTAGCGTTGTTTAATGGGGCTTATTAGCGGGATCTGGTTTGATTCAGCAGGGAAAACTAGCTGACCTTAGCTTCATTTTCTTATCTTCATTTCCTGGATAATTTGCCTATAATGTGCCCCTTAAGTAAAAGTATAAATTTCCACTTTAAATAATCAGCTTTAGGGAAGGTTAAATGGTCAAATTTGAAGAGCTTTTCGTTATTTTTTGGCCCAAAGAAATAACGAAGCCATCATAATGGCACTTAGAAGGGATATAAAATGAAAGGGGAAAATTCTTAAAATATGGAACTGTTGGCAATGCAACATTGATTAGGGCTCCGAAAATGTCGACCTGTTTTAGTGGAAACGCATATAATGCGGGGGATTAGATGCTATCGAAACGATACCGATGGGTAACCATCCCAATTGTTGGGGCTCGGACTGCCTGTCCGCTGACATTAACAAAGGGGCCATCCTGCGAACTAACCTCTAATTGTGTGCTGTTCTGTCTGTTCTGTCACCCACTCTAATGTGCACCCCCATCAATGAAAACCCTCCATCGCCGTCGCCATCACCATCGCCATCGCCATCTCCATCGAAACTGAAACCGCAAACACACTCGCAGAGGGAATTATGCTGCCGGGCATGAGCAGCGAGATGCAGCAGCAGCACGCCCAACTGGCGAGCTTGGCGGCGAAGCATCATCAGCACCAGCTGAGCGGGGCCCTGAATGCGTTGCATCAACAGCAGCAGCAGCAGCAGCAGCAGCAGTTGCAGCAGCAGCAGCAACATCCGCAGCAACAAAGGAGCCTGATGACAGGCAATGGCGGAATGGACATTTCCGGCGGCATGCAGACATCGGGCGGATATCTGGGCGACGACGGACGTCCACCGCCGCCCCCGCACTCCAGTCTCATGCAACAGCAGCAACAGCAGCACCAGCAGCACCAGCAGCACTTGAATGGTGCGGATATTAATGGCAGTCACTGTCACCTTTGTAGCCGGCTCAATTTTCCGACCACCTCTGTGGAGCTTGTGTTCAGTTTGGTTTTCGTTTGCGGTGCCTACTTTCGGGCGCTGGATTTTGATTTCATTTTCGAATTGCTTGTGTTGTTTGTGTTGATGTCGTTTTCCCTGTACATTTCTGTTGGAACCGAATTTTGCCCTACAATTACTAATCTCCTTTATTTCTCTGCTCTGCTCTCTTTCTACTGTCCCAAATCGCCATGCAGATCTTGCCTAGAATGCGTTGGATTGAAGCGGTAATGCAACGATTTGTGTCGTCACCTTGCCATTTCAGAGAATTGAAAATATGCCAGCATACAGATTTGCTAATTGAAATTCTATCTTTGTTGTCCACAGATAACTCAAGCGGACTGGTGACCGTCATCACAGAGCAGGAATTGGAGAGCATGAACGATGATTTGGAGGACACGTCGAGCAGCAACACTACGAACACAACGACGACGACGACCACGGCAACCACGGAGAAAACCTGCGTGGAGCTGCACAAATAACACCTTCGATACTTAACTGCATGGCATTCTACTATTAAAGAAAACAATGAAACAGTATAGGAATCCAAAAGAATTAAATGCAAGGGAGGAAATCCAATTGGCTGGCCTGCAAAACATTCTAAATAATCATACCTAAACACCTAAAGATAGATCCATATAACTATTGTGGTACATATATTTATACATTATTGCGAGGAACCAGACGGAAAAGAATTTCAAGAAGAGCTTCGCGTAAGCTGAGAACACTTTTAGTAGTTATGAAAGATACAAATCTATATATATTATATACAAATATCGAAGCATAAGTAAGTGAGACATATTGAAAGCTGGAAATAATGCAGAAATGATTTAAAAATTAGATAAGCGGTAACTCCCACACATACTTACATCCTACGATATAAAAAACACCTATATCATAAATGAAACATAATCATAATTTGCTAGTACATGAAAAATTGTTATAACTCGCACCTTTTTCAAAAAACTGATAGGAAGCAAATCAATTTCAAAGATACAAAAAAAAACAGCTAACAGTTTTTGGTTAGCTTTCATATCATTTTACAGCTTATACAATAAGTGTTTTTAATGTAAATTTCGAAATATACAATCAGTTTTAATTTGTATCCTAATTTATTCCGATTCCTTGTGTATTATTTCTTAATATTATTTAATATTAATATCTGTGCTAACTGAAAGTGTGCTGCAATGTTTTTAATTAAAGAATTATTATTAAATATCACAGTCTTTAGACTTTTATTTTGCTTTTGGTTTGTAGACAACAAGATCTTCATAAACCTAATCATATGCTGACGAATACGATCACTAAATGGACCACCTTTTCTATCTACTTAATCGAACCGAATCTTATTCAATACCAGAACCCTCAAATATATTAGGTAATCCACATCATTCCAATGAAACTAGTCAAATTACACTTGGATAACTCAGATATACTTACGAATCAATGATATTGAAAACTGCTTTAACATACCTAAATACCACAAGGAACTATTCGAATCGATACATATAGATGTCTATAACTTGATACCCAATATCGTACAATACTCACATCAACATAAGATAAAATATATAGCCGAAAGAGAGCAAAGTTTTAACCTAGATATGCCACAGATCGATAAATATTTATAGATATATCAGATATTAGCTATATGACATGAAACTCTTCAGTTTATTTCTCTTGAAATTCCACATTCCGCATTTAGTTAACGAAATTATACAAAAATTAGGAACGAAAATAAGGACAATATGGAAACATTTTTAGAAACTGTTATCATTTGTGTCATCTATCAGATTAATTTATCTAAGCTAGGTTGAGTTTTCACTAGAATTTCCGGGCACTTAGTAAATAACGCAACACGACTATACTAAACATAGAAAGAATTATATAAAGAGATATAGCTATTAACGAAATGCAGTTAGCAAATTATTCAACCACTTCTGTGTAGTAAAAGGACCCAACTATGAGTATTTTTGTCTAACCATACCGTACCAACCCAACCCAAGCCGAAACTTAATGTGGAAGAGACGTCCTACCAATAACCAATCAAGTTTAATAAAAGAAAACCCTCCGTTTCAAGTTATAAACAAATGAACTAAAATCGAAACCAGAATGCTTAAGTCAACTATATAATCATTAGTGAAACATATCCCATTCAACGGCGTACATATAATCCTTATATACATTATGTATCGTTTATATCTTTAGGAGTACGTAGTCGAGGACGAATTTAAAAGCATCAAGTCTAGTAACTGAGATCCGAGTTGAGAATAGCCAAAGCTGCCATTTGTTTGTCCGCAATTTTATACTGACAACTGATATCAAGCAACGCAATTCAAGCATATCCCGAAATAGTCTTCATCATCCAGTGGTTGTCTACAATAGATTTTTACCTAAATCCTCGAGAGCCGATGAGGAAACCGAGACGAAGCCAAACAATCAACGAAGAAATTATGAATTACATATTATATGACAAGTGGTCAAGGAGTACTGTGAGCTATATTAGCCGCTTATTTATATTAGCGGTTTGTACACCGTATATTAGTCCCTTATTCTAAGCAGATTACTTAGCTGAATTGTGTCCAACTGTAAAGGCAAAGGCCTCTAGAGCACAGCACTTTTGTATGGTATATGGTATATGGTATATCAGCCTAAACACCCTTAGTTTAAATAATCGTACACATCAACTCAATCAGACGGATAATGATAGACACAAAGCCCCGAGCTTGACAACTAATCGTTTTGTTGGAATAGAAGCTTCGAAATTAATTTAGTGGTAGCAGGCATGACTCAATTGTACCTATCTTTTGATACCGTTTATTACAAAACTAAGGACTATAATCGTATTTAATTGTATACCTAATCGAGTGCAGCGAGACCAAAACGCACTCTGCACACTGATGAACTTTTGAAGTCGGCTGAGGAGTAATCGATATCGAAAACATTTCAATGTGTTCTACGAATGGTAGCTCATAGAACTTATTAAACATAATTCACAATTAATAACACAATATGCATTGTAATAAACTTATTTATAACATACGGTGACATACTCGAAGCGTTTATATACAACACACATATACATATTTATACATAATCGGAAATTATACATATGAGATATGCCACATACGATATCATATAACATATACATATATGAACCATTGCGAAAGTTGATACAATAAATAAAACACTCATCAATTGCGTTATAACCTCAGCTTTTAATTTACTTACATACTTTTTCGGAGCTGCTTTCTTGAGCTGGAAGAAACTGGAAACTAGGAAACTGGGAACTATGCGCAAAAAATCTGTTAGGTTTTTCAATTCTCGTTTTATTTCCTAGACTAACCATTCAACAACATATTCTTAAGACGTGTACATAGGCTAGGGCTATCTTAGAATCAATCTACATGTTGGATCGGTATCAAATCCCTCGAAGAACACAGAATAAGAGATTAAGGTACAGCGTTTGGCACAGTTATAGCCGGAGTTTCAGTTTTGGGTCAGTGTAAGCTGCGTGCGATAGATGAAGTCGAATCAAATCAGATCAGGTAGCGGAGAGCCCCGGTCCCTCAGTGATGGTAGTAGGCATGGGGGTCCACTGGAGCGGGAGCCGGTCCTGGAGCCGCATAGTGGGCATAGGGGCTGTGGGCCAGGGCGGGATAGGCGGCATGGAAGTGGGCTGAGGGCAGGACTGGAGTAGCCACTGGCACAGACACCGGAGCCGGAGCTGGAGCGGGAGCAGGAGCGGGAGCGGGACCAGGTGCAGGTGCAGGAGCTCCGCGGTGGTAAGGTCCCAGGGCCAGGGGATACGATAGCAGAGGAGCCTTGGGCAGCGCCGGAAGTGGAGGAGCCGGAGCTGGGCCGTAATGAGCAGGCACTGGAGCGGGTGCAGGTGCGACCACAGGCGCCAGGTGGGCTGGTGCCTTGTAGGCCAGCGGCTCCTTGCGAACCACCGCGTTGAATCCGTGATGGGGATCCGCCGTGTAGTCAACGGTGCGCTTGGTGCCATCCGGATCCACAACCGAGTAGCTGCCCTTCACCACATCTCCGTGGCGCGTCTCATGCTGCGACTTCAGATCGCCTGTATAACCATCCTGGATGTCATAGCCAAACGAATACTTCGGGTCGGGATCGTAGGGCTCGGGAGCAGCCGGCTTGGGCGCCACATAGGGACCAGGCAGAGGCCCGTATCCTCCATAGTGGTGCAGGGGTCCGGGAGCAGCTGGACCGCCATAATACGGCCCGGGTCCAATCACGCCCGCATAGGCGATGCCGAGCACGGCGCTCAGTAGGGAAATCTGAAAAATAAAAAGGAAAATCAGGAAATAATCCAATTTAAATATACTTCAAGTAATATGAGCGACAGAAAATGGTGGCTTTTAAAGCAATTAAACAAAATTGATTTAATTGGCATAACTTCCAATTCATGTAAGACTTAAACTATCTTCTTTATGCACTGACTAATCCTTCTGTGAGTCAAGAAAAGGCTTTCAGTTTGAGGAAAAGTGGTTAAATGCACTTTTCCCCTTAGAGTACAAGTATATTAAAGCGGCCTAAACTTTATGGGCGCTGTTGCAAAAGACTCTGCTATCCTTTGTTGCCCCACCTTCAGCATGACGATGTCCTTGCAGGGGTATCCTTTCCACTCGCTCACAGTTGCCACAGACTCAGCAGACACCACGTACAGAGTGGCCGGAGTATCGTTGGCTTCGACGACGATCGCGCTAGAAGAAGTAACCAAAACTGCAAGCGTTCGCTGGGAGTTCTGGCCATTTATACTGGCTAACGGCGCCAAATGTCGCCTGCTTCACATGGCGCAGTGGAGGCAATAAACTAATTTCGGATCAGAGAGACCCGGCCAGAGGAAGTTGCCAGTCTGGGCCAGCGATCAAGCACATGGCGCGGAGCAGGCCTGTGGAGCCAGGGGTCGGGGATTGACTCTTGCCCACCTGGCGGCAAATCGTGTGCCTGGCTTCAACTTTGGCGCAGCTATCGTGTCGACTTAGAAAGGTTATTCTTCCGCTAAACCATTTAAAGGGTCCCCAACCTCCGGGGCAAGCCAGCCCGAGTTTGCCCTTTCACTTTTGCGACGTGTACGACTCGGTTTCGATTCGCTTGGACACCGACTTGTGGCAGTTATGTGCACATTTATTTGGCCGCACACAATTGAAATGTTAAATTAGCATTGCCTGGATGCTGGGCCTTGCTGCCTTTGGCTGCCTTTGGCTGCCGCGTAATTAGCTGAGAAGAACAAGCTGCACCAGCAGCGGCTTAATGCGGCGGTTCCATATTAAATGGCAGTTGCAGCGCCTGAAAAGGTCAGGTGGTCCACAATTGAATTAAAAGTGCCTGGAGTGCGAGTGCCTGGGCCCACAAGAAGGGGCGAAAACAGGGGCAGCCAGTCGCTCCAACCGCCTAATAAAGCGAAAGGTCAACGCGCTGCTGTCGGCACATTAGTCTGGCCCACGGACCAGGCCAACTACCACTTGCAGTCTGGGCAAATAATGTCATTAATAATACCCTTAAAAGAGTGGCATGTCGACTATACAACGTCTCTCGTGATTGATCCTGCAGCTCAGACTTGTTTTCTGGCTAATCCTCAACTTAGATGGTTACTACATAGCAAGCATGTCTAAAACCAGCAGGACTATTACATCATTTACAACCAAAGCTGAGTTGGAGATTCATTTTAGGATGTCCAACCATTTTGATGGCCCACACAATACCCTTTCCAGCTTCTCACAGCCAAGTGCCTGCGACAATTCCTACGTTTACCGTTCTGTGAGCTTAATTTATGGCTGCAAATTTGTATCTGGCATCTGGAAAACCATTGACAACCGCATGCATTGTCTTAGCCTGTTTATGCGACAACTAACTATAACAGAGAATCAAAGTCGTGCCATGTCAGCTGTTTTGACTATTTTTAGCCAGCAGATCAAAGCAATTGATCAACAAGAATGTCAGGCTAATGCTGCAAGTTGCCAAGGAGGCCGAAATGAAAATCCAGTCAATAATGGATTAGTCGAAAGCTATTTTAATTGCAACATGCAAGTTGCGACTAAAACCTGAGCCATAAATGTGACATCTCTTGGAGATGTTTTCCAATTACAGGGCTCACGGCTGGCAAAACATTTGACATATGTCTGTTATTTCAAAACCCATTCAGCTGTTTCAGCGTTATGATTCATAAAGCTTCAAACGCTAAAGATAAATTGATGGCTATTCCCAGGGCAGTTTTATGGAGCTACTGGTCAGTTCCCCAAGGGAGTTGGCAGTGGGCAGTCGCTTGGAAAGCTTTTAGCCAACGCAACAAGTTCTGATGGATTTCAGTCAGGTTCTGGACAAGTGTGGAAACTATGGCAGGTTCCAGGTGATGATCCTCTTGCTGTACGGCTACACAAATATTCTGGGATCACTGCACTACTTCTCGCAGACCCTTATAACCTTCACACCAGAGCATTGGTGGGTGGACACAAAACACGCGAATCCTCACTTAGTAACGTCGAATCTTTCCCACACAGGTGCTCCCATGCTGACCTGGAGGGTCTCACTATGGAGGAGATTCGCGCAGTGTATCAAAACATATCCGAATCGTCCTGCACGCCGCTTTTGGGCCTCGTCAACGGCACTGGCGTAGTGACAGCGGACCGGAAGTGCAGGAGCTGGATTTTCAACAGGGAGAACGGCTACGAAAGCATCACCACCGAGGTACAAGGCCATAGGAAACTGGGCTGGAAAAGCTTATAATGTTGACATCCCACTTCAGCTCAAATGGATCTGTGACAAGTCCTACCATCCGGCAGTGGGCCAGTCCTTCTTCTTCATGGGCTCGGTGGTGGGCACCATAATCTTTGGCTATTTATCGGACCAGATAGGTCGTCTGCCCTCGCTGTTGATGGCCACCTTGTGTGGCGGCACTGGGGACTTCATTACCTCCTTTGTGTACACTCTGCCGTGGTTCGCCTTTGCCAGATTTATGTCGGGACTGTCCACGGATACCATGTACTACCTAATGTACATATTGGGTAATGCTCCTTTTATTAAAAGCACAAGTTACATTAATCTATCTACTCCATTTCGTTAGTCTTTGAGTACCTGAGCCCAAAGAGCCGCACCTTTGGACTCAATATCATCTTGGCCGTGTTCTACTGCTTTGGACTGATGACCTCGCCCTGGGCCGCCATTTGGATCGGCAACTGGCGCCACTACCTCTGGCTAGCATCTCTTCCAGCATTGGGTGTCCTTATATATCCCTTCCTGATCTGCGAAAGTGCCCAGTGGCTTTTGACCAAAAAGAAGTACGACGAGGCGGTGATCTGCCTGAAGAAAGTGGCCAAGTTCAATGGGCGACAGGTGGAGGATTCCGTATTCGACGAGTTTGTCAAATTCTACCGGGAAAGGGCAATACAGGATAACAAGCTAACTAGCCACGAGGACACTTTTTTGGCCATGTTTATGACCCCTCGGTTGCGTCGATTCACTTTGACACTGCTCGTGAAGTCGTAAGTTCCTTACTTTCAGATTCGAATGCCCTATTTAATGTGTCCTTTCGGTTGCAGGGTCATCATAACCCTCTCGTGTGATGTGATCAATCGGAACATGGAGGGCTTGGGCACTTCGCCCTTCAAGCTCTTCTCCTTCACATCGGTTGTATACCTCCCAGCAGGAGTGGCTATCCTCTTGTTGCAGAACAAGATCGGACGCAAGGGCATGGCCTGCAGCGCTCTGTTCGTGGGCGGACTTATTACCACGATGACGGGTTTTCTGATAGCCAACTTGGATCCCAGGCAGAACGCCCTACTGCTGGCCATCATGGTGGGTCTGGGACGCTTTGGAGCCACCGTTTCCTACGACGCGGAGATCCAGTACGCGGCGGAGATCATTCCGACCAGCGTGCGGGGCCAGGCGGTGTCCAACATCCATGTGGTGGGACTGGCCTCCAGCTCACTGGCCTTCTATGTGATCTACCTGGCCCAGTACTACAAGCCGCTCCCCTCGATCTTCATTAGCTGCCTGATGTTTTTTGGCGCTGGACTTTGTCTCACTTTACCGGAGACGTTGAACAAGTTTGTTTATATGGCTAAAACTCCTAACAAATCACTCATTGCGTCGTTTCTCATCAGGAAGTTGCCGGAAACCTTGGCGGATGGAGAAAAGTTTGCCCTAAACGAGAGCTTCCTCTACTTTCCTTGTTTTTCAAGAAGGCAAAAAAACGTGAGGATTGAAAGTGTTTAATAGATAGTTAAATTGGACAAATTAAAGTGAACCTCTGGCTGAGAGCACTGAAACTTAGTTGTCATTCGATTTAAATTATGCTCCACGAAGACTGATTAAATTAATATATTTAAAAGTCATAAGTTCGTCGTTTAGTTTTGTTGAGTTATCATATGCAAAATGCCTATCTGCTTACAATTTAACAAGCTCCGACTTTTTGACGTCACGAATTTAATAGTAGCTATAATACCTGCAAATAAACAGCATTGCATGTTTGCAATCACCGACCCCAAAAATCTATACTTATCTCCTCATCAGCAATAGCAAAGGCCTAGGATTTAAAAAAAATGGGTCGTCGCAAATACTTATTACCGATAGTACACATGAGACATTTAAATGGTAATAAAATGGTATAAATAAAAACAGATCAGGGATATTGAGAACAAAATAGAACACATTTAAAGCGTCGCCACTGACATCAGCTCTTACAATATTTTATATGGGTATAATGGGTATACCGCGATCCGTACACTCTCAATTAGCTTTCCTTCGTGCATTCGAAAATTTCATTTCGCGAAAATGCGACTGCTGGCAGTCGAAAGCCCCACATCAAACTTTACTTTCGTTCCGAGCGGTTGGCATCGCAATTTCGCCTGAGACGCGCCATTCTCGGTCAGTGACTGCAAAAGTTCTATTGTGAAAGGCTGTTTTGAATGCAGCCGAACGTCTGTTTCTTATCTTAAATTCAAATACGAATTTCGCAACGAGCATCTGTTAGCCAGGGAACTCAGCAATGTTTAAAACTTTTGAGAACTAGAAGTTGAAATTGAGTCTGAGCCCAGCAACAAGTGGCAGCAAGTTCTCTAAAATAAAATAAAGTATCAACAATGTTAAATGTCTCACGTACAAAATTGTGTTCAGCATCTTTCATTCATATATGAAAACACTATTTTCTCACTATAAACACTATATTACTATGAAAACACCATTCAACTTAATTTTGGTTGCCAAAATAACTAAATAGGGCGTTCGAAAAAGTATCTAAGATTTAATTTGAAAGGCACAACTCAGACTAATGACCTACAGCAAGTTTTGTGTGCTTTTTAGTTGCCAGCGCTCCAGTGAAATTGCACAACAGCCGACGCAGGACCGCAGCTGTCAAACATAATCCACACGAATTACATCTGATCTCGCAGAGCGCACTAATTGCTTTGGGCAACTAGGAGGGGATCAACGCAGCCAATTAGCCAGTCGTGGGGATGAGTCGCAGTCGCAAGCTCATCTTGATTCCCGGATAGAAACGTGGAAACGCTGGCCTTAACTGCTGCGAGTGCGAGGAAGCGCAATGTTGGAGGTGGACAGGATCCTGGAGAAGTGCGGCGACTTCAGCCGCCTGCAGCTGATCATGCTGCTGCTCTTCTGTGTGATCAACGTGCTCTCCGCCCTGCACTACTACTCCCAAACCATCATCAGCTTCGTGCCCAAGCACTGGTGCGTATGTTCCCCGCTGTTCACCACGTCGTATACTTAACGCATTGCTCATACGCCCAGGTGTGCAGATGGCCTGCCCCTCAGCAGTGAGGCGCCGGTGGAGTCGAGCTGCCTGCCGCTGGGCCGGAATATGAGCACTCCGGATAGCTGCTACAGCTATAACTACGAGCTGTACATGGGCTACCAGAGCTTTCCCAGCGAAATGGATTGGGTGTGCGCCGATGCCTGGAAGCTCACGCTGGGCCAGTCCATGTTCTTTGTGGGCTCTGTGGTGGGCTCCATGGTGCTGGGCTACCTGGCGGATGTGGTCGGACGTCTGCCCATTCTGATCGTGGCCAACCTGATTGCCATGACAGGCAATTTACTGACCATATGGAGCAGCAATGTCACGCTCTTCTGTGTGTTTCGCATGGTTTCCGGCTTCGCCACGGACAGCAACTTTGTGATGATGTATATCTTGGGTGAGTTACTCCTAGATTCGTTGAATATAGCGATTCACCACTATAACCATTAGTTATGGAGTACATGCGGCCAGCAGTGCGCACCCTGGGCCTGAGCATCTGCATCGGGTTCTTCTACTGCCTCGGCTCGATGGCGGCGCCTTGGATCGCCGTGCTCATGCGCAGCTGGCGGGGATTCCTGCTGGCCACCTCCCTGCCCCTGCTGGTGGTGCCGCTCTTCTACCTCGTGGTGCCTGAAAGCATTCAGTGGCTGATTTCCAAGCAGAAGTACGACAGCGCCGTCGTCTGCCTGAAACGGGTGGCCAGGATAAATGGGCGGCACGTGCAGGAGAGTGCCTACGAGGAGTTCATCGAGGAGTGCAAGCGCAGTCAGCAGAACCAGAAGGCGTCCACCCACCTCCTGGGCCTGTTCAAAACGCCCCGGCTCCGGCGCCACACGCTCATACTCTTCTTCAAGTCGTGAGTACCCCAGGAACGGCAGATGGCTTGGCTTTTCACTAATTTTCCACGCCCACGCGCAGCATGGTCATCACCCTCTGCTACGATGCGGTTTCCCGCAACGTTCAGGGCCTTGGCATTTCGCCATTTGCGATGTTCTCGCTGAGCGCCACCGCCATTCTGCCGGCCTGCCTGCTCATCATCGCCCTCCAAGATCGCATCGGGCGCAAGGCGATGGCGTCCGCCTCCCTGCTGCTCAGTGGCATTTTCATCTCGGTCACCGGAGGCATCATCTTCGCCGCTTCTGCCTCGGATAAGAGTGAGTACAGTTTGGGTGGACTTTTGGCATGGTACGATTCCAGCGGAAGATTAACACCAGATATTTAAGCATTAGGCGAGCTGCAAAGCAAATTATAAACCTAAATATTCAGTGCATAAAACCACAGACTTGATCTTTGATCCGTATTATATTGTATTTTGCCCATCACTTTGAATGTCTCCAAATGTGCAGGCCTAAAATCATATCAATTGAAAGGTTATTTTCTACTTAAATGCATGTATATTAATTATTCCTCAGAAATGTAGGCTTCAATAATTCGAACTAAGTGCCTCAACTAACGTAAATTCCCCAAAGAACTTCCTTACCAACCACAAACTTGCATCCTTTCAGCCACCACTTTGCTGGTGAGCCTGTCCGTAGTGGGTCGCTTTGGAGTGACGGTGGCCTACAACTCCGGAGCGCAGTACGCCACCGAGCTGATCCCCACCTGCGTGCGCGGCCAAGGAGTGGCTGCGGTCCACGTGGCGGGCTATGCCTTCACCTTCTTCAGTGCGTACATCCTGTTCACGAGGAGCGTGTTCTCGCCGCTGCCCGAGATCATCCTGGGCGTGCTCTCCTTGTTGGGGGCGTGTCTGTGCCTCCTGCTGCCGGAAACCCTTCACCGCACCTTGCCCACCTCTCTGGAAGATGGCGAGAACTTCGGAAAGAATGATCGCTGGTACACCTTTACTTTTCTGGACAGACGCACTCAGTCCGCAGCCACCCTGGACACCCAGAACGTCAAGATGTACTCGCAATCCACGGAGTCGGCCGTCTACTTTTGAGTAAATATGTTTGGAATGCCGAACTCGGTTGTGTATTTTCAGTGCAAGTAATGTAATGTTTTTCAAATGTGTACACTAAAAACTTTCTTAGTTACAAGTGATCAAACAATAAACGAATATATTACAAAATCCGAAGGAACGCAGATCCGATTTGGGAAAATGTATACTTGTAAGATTCCTTAAACTAATTGAAATTAATTTTTAAAAGGTTTGCCATATATTAAATAAGATAATGGTAAACGGTAACGAAAATTGAAGTGCCGTTTTCCCAGCTGAAAATTTGTGTAATACCGACGCGACATTGTTTAATCGGACTTAACTGCTTCTATTTGCAAAAACTTTGAATTTATTTGAACTGTAAAGCCTCCATAAAGATAAACGATGGTTTGTTATATTTTTGCGGGCGTCGCATTAGTAACAAGTGAACGCCAAGTCGATGTTCTCGACTATCAGATACCCGTTACTCAGCTTACAAACCTGAAATGTTCGAATTTTTCAAAATTGTGGTCGTGACAGTTCTTTACGATTTGTGAGCGTGGCAACTACCTGAAACAAAATTGCAGGGAATCTGCATGGATATCTAACATTTCTTGCTTTTATAGTTCCCAAGATCACGGCGTTCATACGGGCATGAAATCCTGATCAGAAGTGCATACTCGCTGCTACCTGGATCAAAGAATCTTGTAGGCTCTTTACCCTACGAGTTCCATGAGATACTCTCTGCATCCAAACAGAAGCCACACGTCAGAAATTGTTCAAACTCTTTCTTTCTTCTCCTAATGCCCCTTGGCATGGGAGATAAACTAATAGCAACAAATTCCCCCTGTTTGCAGTGTATTAGCGCATTTAGCCTGCACCCAGAATCGGCTAAATACCACCTGCTCGTTCCACTTGGTCGAAATCAGTTGATGTTTTGCGATTGCAGCGGTTTCGTGCGCCGAAATGGATCTCCAGAAAGTCCTGGAAAAATGCGGTAACTTTGGCCCCTATCAAATACTCCTGCTGGGTCTCTTCGGATACACGAACATTGTGTCCTCGCTGCACTACTTTTCGCAGACCATCATTAGTTTCACGCCCCCGCACAGGTGAGCATTCGAAATGGTACTTCCTCAATATAAATGTAATGAAAAAGTTTATATTTAATAGATACCAAATTAAATGTAATTTTTCGATTAAGCTATCAAATCAGCTATTATAATCTAAATCGAGACCACATCAAATTTCACAAGGAACGAATTAGAATTATTCTCACCTTAAATATTTGAACTCTTTATATTTCAGCTGTTCCGCGCCAGTAGAAGGATATTCACAACATTTCACTGAGCGGTTGTCCTGTAGTGTCATCCAGTACGATGTCGACAACTCCTCCTTCCGGGAGTCCAAGTGCACCTCCTGGGACTTCGAAAAGGAAAGCAACTACGAGAGTGTAACCACCGAGGTAAGTTTCAGCCCAAAAGTAGAAAACCCAATCTATAGTCAACACTACCGTGCAAAATATTGATCACAGCTCAAGTGGGTCTGCGAAGATGCCTACAAGCTGGCAGTGGGCCAGTCCTTCTTCTTCATTGGCTCCGCCCTGGGAAGCATATTCTTCGGATACTTGGCCGACCGCATAGGACGTCTCCCTGCCTGCGTTCTGTCCACCTTAACAGGAGCCTCCGGGGACTTCTTCACCTCCTTCGTGGGAAGTCTGCCCTGGTTCTCGTTCACCCGGTTTGTGTCCGGCCTGTCCATGGACACCCAGTATGTGCTGATGTACATTTTGGGTAAGTTTATATGGTATATACAGCTTACCTATATTCAATACAATATATTTTCAGTTTTCGAGTACTTGAGTCCACAGCACCGCACCTTTGGGCTGAACATCATCTTGGGCGTCTTCTATTGCGTTGGGCTGATGATATCTCCCTGGATAGCCATTTGGATGTCCAACTGGCGGCTTTACCTCTGGGCTGCATCACTTCCGGCGCTGGGAATGCTACTATTCCCCGTGTTTCTCCATGAGAGCGCCGAGTGGCTACTAACGAAGGGAAAGTTTGATAAGGCAGTTAGGAGTCTTCGAGGCGTCGCCAAGTTCAATGGACGAGAAGTGAATGACTCTGTTTTCGACGAGTTCGTGAAGCACTACCGCGAAAAGCTAAACAGCTTGCAGGATAAATCTTCGGACACCTTCATGGGTATGTTGAGGACTCCAAGACTGAGAAAGTTTACCATTATTCTATTGATCAAATCGTGAGTTGAAATGGTACTAACATAGTTGAAAGATATTAAACCTATTATTTCAGAATGATCATTACGATTGCATTCGACATCCTGAGTCGCAATGTTGAGGGCGTGGGCATATCCCCCTTCAAGCTGTTCTCCTACTCTGGATTCTGTTACCTGCCTGCCGGTCTCACCATCATCCTATTCCAGAACAAAATCGGGCGAAAGGGCATGGCCTGCGCCTCTCTGTTTGTGGGTGCCATTATCACGGCGGCTACTGGCTACTTGGTGGCCACCCTGGATCCGGCAGAGTACTCCATACTTCTGGGATTCATGGTCAGTCTGGGCAGATACGGGGCAGTGGTGGCCTACGACGCGGAGGCCCAGTACGCGGCGGAGATTATTCCAACCAGTGTTAAGGGGCGAGGAGTGGCCAACATCCATGTGGTGGGCAATGCCTTCGCCTTCTTCAGCTCCTACATCATCTACTTGGGCACTTTTTACAAGCCACTGCCTTCGCTTCTGATCAGCTTCGTTTTGCTACTCGGCGCTTGTTTGTGCCTTTGTCTGCCGGAGACTTTGCACAAGTAAGTCTTCTATATTTTGAATACAACTAGTAAAATGCTTAAATTTTCTTTTCGCAGAAATCTTCCGCAGAATCTCGAGGAGGGCGAAGTATTTGCGAAAGGCGAGAAATGGTACTTCTTTCCCTGCTTTTCACGCAGGCAGAAAACTCATAAGTCTGCATCTCAATTGGAGTCATCCGACACTATTAAAGATTAGTTTTAAGTTGTTAATGTTATTCAAAATACCAATACAGTTTACAAATAATATCAAAACATGTTTACTGGGCTCCTATTTCTATAGACAGTACTAGAAATGTACAATTCTACAAGCCACTGCCATTCACGCAGGCAGAAAACTCATAAGTCTGCATCTCAATTGGAGTCATTCGACACAATTAAAGATTAGTTTTAAGTTGTTATTCAAAATACAAATACAGATTACAAATAATATCAAAACATGTTTACTGGGCTCCTATTTCTATAGACAGTACTCATAGACGCTACCAATTTCATCACACTCTGATTTCATTTCTGGAACTGAGATCTTCGTTATCCCAGACCCAGACATCTTTGCTTTTAATGCCTTTTTATTTGACCTGCTTACACTTAATTAATCGCTTAGCGTAGTTCCGGAAAGATTACTATAAAAGGCCATAAAATTTGAAATAAATCACGTTATATAGAAAGTGATTAGTGGATTTCTTTGTTTTGCACGACTTTGAATCGTTGCTATAAAAACAAGTCGTATAGTTATACACCCAGTATTAAATATTTATTTTAAGTTTATATAAGTCTAGATGGTCTATTAACCTAGACCAGTTTATGAATATAGAAAGAGTAGTCAGAACGCATTGAATCGCATCTATTGCACAAATAAATAGATGTTTAAGTTTAGGTTCTTAAGTGTTTCCAAGAGAACATTTTATGGCACCAACCAGACTTTGTTTGGGCGGATTAGCCAGCTTCTGTTTGCCAGACAGCTCTATTTTACTGGACCCAAGAACACCTGTTGAGATAAGTAAGGGCAACTTATGTTGTGCGGGCGTCACTTTAATAAGGGGCCCATGGGTCTAGAAGGAACTTCTCCACACGCCAAACGGCAGACAGACGTCGGAAATGGTTAAATAGCTTATTTCTTGCCCATGTCCCGTTGTGAGATAAACTAGCGCTAGATACTATGTGTTTGCAGAGTATTAGCCATATATCCGGGGGCCAGAATGGCTTATATACCAGCTGCTCGTCCCCTTCGCTGGCATCAGTCGGTGGTCTGCGATCAGGGCAGTTTCTTGTGGCGAAATGGACCTCCAACGCGTCCTGGGGAAGTGCGGCAACTTCGGCCCCTACCAAATCCTGCTCCTCGGACTCTATGGGTACACCAATATAGTGTCCTCGCTGCACTACTTTTCGCAGACCATCATCAGTTTCACGCCCGCGCACAGGTATTTAAAATATATATCTAAATTGTCACGTGTTTAAAAGTTATTTTAAATTCATTTATCGATTCAGCTATTCAAATCAAATATTTACCTGTGGAAACTAAATATAACCTAAATCCAGACCACATCAAATTTCACAAGGAACGAATTAGCTTCCTTAAATATTTAAACTCTTTATATTTCAGCTGTTCCGCGCCAGTAGAAGTGGAATATTCACAACATTTCACTGAGCGGTTGTCCTGCAGTGTCATCCAGTACGATGTCGACAACTCCTCCTTCCGGGAGTCCAAGTGCTCCTCCTGGGACTTCGAAAAGGAAAGCAACTACGAGAGTGTAACCACCGAGGTAAGTTTCAGCCCAAAAGTAGAAAACCCATTCTATAGTCAACACTACCGTGCGAAATATTGATTACAGCTCAAGTGGGTCTGCGACGATGCCTACAAGCTGGCAGTGGGTCAGTCCTTCTTCTTCATTGGCTCCGCCCTGGGAAGCATATTCTTCGGATACTTGGCCGACCGCATAGGACGTCTTCCTGCCTGCGTGCTGTCCACCTTAACAGGAGCCTCTGGGGATTTCTTCACCTCCTTCGTGGGAAGTCTGCCCTGGTTCTCGTTCACCCGGTTTGTGTCCGGCCTGTCCATGGACACCCAGTATGTGCTGATGTACATTTTGGGTAAGTTTATATGGTATATACAGCTTACCTATATTCAATACAATATATTTTCAGTTTTCGAGTACTTGAGTCCACAGCACCGCACCTTTGGGCTGAACATCATCTTGGGTGTCTTCTACTCTGCTGGCCTAATGATCTCGCCTTGGATAGCAATGTGGTTGGGCAACTGGCGCAGTTACCTGTGGGCGGCATCTCTTCCAGCTCTGGGAATGTTAGTTTTTCCGCTGTTCCTCCACGAAAGCGTCGAGTGGCTACTAACGAAGGGAAAATTCGACAAGGCAGTTAGCAACCTCAAAAGTGTCGCCAAGTTCAATGGACGCCAAGTAGAGGACTCGGTTTTCGATGAGTTCATTAAACACTATCGAGAGAAGTTGAATAGTGGCCAAAAAAAGTCCGCAGACACCTTTATGGGTATGTTGCGGACTTCAAGACTGAGAAAGTTCACCATTATTCTATTGATCAAATCGTGAGTTGAAGTGGTACCAAAATATTTGAAAGATATTAAACCTATTATTTCACTATTTCAGAATGATCATTACGATTGCATTCGACATCCTGAGTCGCAATGTCGAGGGCGTGGGCATATCCCCCTTCAAGCTGTTCTCCTACTCAGGATTCGTCGTCCTTCCTGGTGGTCTCATCATCATCCTATTCCAGAACAGAATTGGACGAAAGGGCATGGCCTGCGCCTCGCTTCTTGTTGGTGCCTTCATCACGGCGACCACCGGCTACCTAGTGGGCACTCTGGACCCAGCGAACTACTCCGTGCTCCTGGGGCTCATGGTGTGCTTGGCAAGATTCGGAGCGGTCGTTGCCTACGACGCGGAGGCCCAGTACGCGGCGGAGATTATTCCAACCAGTGTGCGCGGACGAGGAGTGGCCAACATCCATGTGGTGGGCAATGCCTTCGCCTTCTTCAGCTCCTACATCATCTACTTGGGAACGTTCTACAAGCCATTGCCGTCGCTCTTGATCAGCTTCCTCCTCATCATTGGCGCTGGTTTGTGCCTCACTCTTCCAGAAACTCTGCACAAGTGGGTTTTGATTACCTGTCCCATCAAGTTATATATAATAATAATTATTTAATCCTGCAGGCAACTGCCACAAACTCTAGAGGAGGGCGAGGAATTCGCCAAGGGCGAGAAATGGTACTTCTTCCCCTGCTTTTCACGCAAACGGCAGTCGAATAAATCCGAATTTCAGTTGGAGTCGAGCAAGTAATTTACATAGTAGTTATAGTAAATGTATTAAGAGTACAATAAATGCTAATACCAAAGAGCTCAGAGTAATAACAATGCATGCTGTTGTTACTAAGACATCCATCTCAGGTTTTATGGCCTCTGATAATACAAAAAGTATCTGATTTCATCACATACTAATCTCGTTTCTAATGCCAGGCTTAGACGTGTATTAAGTTGCGTATTTCCCAGTTACTCTCTCATTCGGTTCGCTTAAACTTAATTAGCTTTTGTCTAGGACATGATTTATGCAAACAACGCCGATGGTTCCGGACTTTTACTAGTCGGTGCGATAAGCTAAGTATAATAGCAATTTGAAGAGGCTTTGTTAGGCGCTGTAATCTATACTATATATAATCTATATCCCTAAAGTGTCCAGCCACAAACAACGGATCCGTACACGTATATCCGGTAAATCCCCCAATTAAAAAGACTTAATTTCAGGCGTGACTTACAGCACGACAGTGGCTAATCCATCGTAAATCTAAGACCAAGTCAACAAACGGAAAGAAGCCGAATTTTTCGAGAAAGTCCGTCACTTGACCAAGTTAAATGGCCGATAAGCAAGGGAAATCGTCTTTTTTATATGCAATTGCCAAGTTTGACTAAACCGTATGGTAAAACAGCTAATGTTTATCCACATTTAATCATTATAAGCATAAATTTTATGCTAGTTACACAAATAACTTCTGTTTTGGCTTGTTCGTTCACCTGTTCCGTAGCTTGTTTGCTCTGCTCTCGGCATCTTATCATAGGCACACACCCCAAAAAAGATAGATTGAGTAGCCAATCTCTGCGCCACTAATTACCCGCCCTAATCAGCCACAACGCCTATATCTTTATACTATTTAAGGCAGCTGCCGATCCCAGGAGGCCTCAAAACACTGCGCATACCAGCAGAATGTAGTTGACTCGTTGCTGGGAAGATTCGCATAAACAAAATAAAGTTGATAGATACTTCGGCCAAGTAGGGTTCCTGGAAGAGATCACCATGGACTTCGACCGCGTGCTTGAGAAGTGTGGAAACTTCGGAAGGTTTCAGTTTGTCATTCTAATTCTCTACGGCTACACGAACATTCTCAGCTCGTTGCATTATTTCTCGCAGACCCTTATTACCTTCACACCTGAGCACTGGTAAGTATTAAATTAAAGAGCAATTCCCAATTCTATAGCTAAAATAATGAATAATTTTGAAGTTTAATTTAAGACAAGAGAATTACCACCTAATCCTCTATTTTCATTTCTTATTTCGTACTTTGTTCGGTGAAATAACATAACTAAAATTAAATTATTCCGATCCTATAGGTGTTCCCACGATGACCTAATGGGCTTGGGAGCCGCGGAGCTGCGAGCCATTTACTCCAACGTCTCGCACTCCTCCTGCACTCTGCTCTCCGACGTGATCAATGGAACCGGAGTGGCCTCTGGTGAGTCCTGCCAGGACTGGATCTTCGAGCGGGAGAACGGCTACGAGAGTCTAACCACCGAACTGAAGTGGGTCTGCGACAAGTCCCATCAGCCGGCGGTGGGCCAATCCTTCTTCTTCCTGGGCTCGGTGGTGGGCACCATTTCCTTCGGGCTGCTATCTGACCACATTGGAAGACTGCCGGCTATGCTGATGGCGTCCATATCCGGTGCAACTGGAGACTTCATTACCTCGTTTGTGCACACGTTGCCCTGGTTCGCCTTCTCACGCTTTGTGTCTGGACTATCCACGGATACCATGTACTACCTAATGTACATCTTGGGTAACAGTGACATTCTAGCCATTCATGCTATCCAAAGTAACCGATTTATTTTCCGCCAGTCTTCGAGTACCTGAGTCCCAAGCGCCGCACCTTTGGTCTGAACATCATCCTGGCTGTGTTCTACTGCTTCGGACTGATGACCTCGCCCTGGATCGCCATGTGGATTGGAAACTGGCGGCGCTACCTCTGGCTGGCGTCTCTTCCAGCCCTGGGAGTCCTCACTTACCCTCTCCTGATCTGCGAAAGTGCCCAGTGGCTGCTGACCAAGAAGAAGTACGACGAGGCGGTGGCCTGCCTCAAGAAAGTGGCCAAGTTCAATGGCCGTCAAGTTGAGGACTCGGTGTTCGATGAGTTCGTAAAGCATTACCGCGAGAAGATGAACGAGGAGAGCAAGCTGAACAAGCAAATGGATACTTTCCTGGGAATGTTCAAGACTCCCAGACTGCGCCGCTTTACCACCACATTGCTGGTTAAGTCGTAAGTCTACTCCCTTGCTTTTGTGAGATCCAACTGCAGACGTCGTGTTTTCAGGGTCATCATCACACTGTCCTACGACGTGATCAACAGGAACATGGAGGGCCTGGGCTCCTCGCCCTTCAAGCTCTTCTCACTGACCTCCAGTGTCTACCTGCCTGCGGGATTCACCATCTTACTGCTGCAGAACAAGATTGGGCGAAAGGGCATGGCATGTGGAGCCCTGCTGGTGGGAGCCATCATAACCGCGGCCACTGGCTTCCTGATCGCGGTTTTGGATCCCAATGAGAACGCTGTTCTGCTGGCACTAATGGTGGGCCTGGGTCGCTTTGGCTCCACCGTTTCCTACGATGCGGAGATCCAGTACGCGGCGGAGATCATTCCCACCAGCGTGCGTGGCCAGGCGGTGTCCAACATCCATGTGGTGGGCCTGGCCTCCAGCTCACTGGCCTTCTATGTGATCTACCTGGCCCAGTACTACAAGCCCCTGCCCTCGATCTTCATTAGCGTTCTTATGTTCCTGGGTGCTCTGCTCTGCCTCACGCTCCCCGAAACGCTGCACAAGTAGGTGAACAATGTCCTTTAGGGATATTGACAGCTAGTTTCATTACTTTGTGGCTCATCTACATGTGTCCTCCATCAATCCTAGGAAACTACCCGAAACCCTGGCCGACGGAGAGCGCTTCGCGATGAACGAGAGCTGCCTGTACTTCCCTTGCTTTCACAAACGCCGCGAAAGTCTCACCGAGCTTGGGGACCAAGAGTCTGAACCCTAGAGAACGATGAACCTGATAGCTGACTTAGCCACTTAACCTGATGATGGGGTCAACGAAGTGCTGACCCCCGTAACCGAATGGTCTGATAGTTGTTACTCATGTGAAGGATGCATAGTAATCAAACCAAAACCGTTGTATAGAGTACACTTATATAATCCTATATATCCGAAACAGAACTGGTATGAATATATGACGCACTCCTTTTTTCACAATAAATATATACATTTTAAAATAACTGAGGTTACTGATACCTTACTTTAATCTTACTCATAAATCAGCACTGCCAAGAATTAAAATATTTGAAAGTACATAGAAATGTCGACTGACTCACGGAAAACCCCAGCTAAATATTAAATGTTTTTATTTATTATTAATGTCATTTTTTGTCCCATCTTTATACCGGCTTCTCGTTAAGTTACTAGTTTAGATATACAAGATTCATTGAAAAGTATGTTACAGGTAGAAGAGTGTATATATGCAATTCTATATTTCCGAAATGAAAGACCCCAGAAAATAGCTTAAAGACGGCGGGACAATTGGTTTTCATTTGTATATTTTATAAGTGGCTTTCTAACTTTAAATAATTATTATCAGTTTGCTTAATGGCTCTCACTTGCTTAAAGATCAAAATCCAAAATAGAACATTCAGTTACTGGCCTAAGTAGTGTCGCACTTATGTACATGTAGCTATGAAAAACGCTTACGATAAGTATTCAATTGGTTTCAGTTAAGTGATTTTGTGCCGCTTAAGTGTTAACTATACGATTCCATTTTATACACAATCAGCATTTTTGAAAAACATCAATTTTCGACAGAGTAAATGTACATCTACGCCCTAAGGTGACTAAAACTAGAGTAGGTATATCGTATATATAAAATTAAGAGGGTACACTCTAACATAAGTATATAAGAAAGGCTTCTGCATACTGAGCACAAATGTTGCAGGCACCCAACTGGCCGTCGAACCGAGTTAGTCTTAGGATCCAGGCGAAATTGGTTAGCTAAACTACGAACTACTGAGGACGGGGTGGCGCCCCTCAGTGCTTGGCGTCCTTCAGGGCCTGCTCCTCGTTATCGGCGTCGATCAAGGACTGCTTGCGCTTCCCGTTCGAGCAGGACTCCATCTGCATCTGCTTGGCGTCGATCAGGGAGTGCTTCCGCTTGTACTTCTCCAGCTCGGAATCGGACTCCTCGTCGTCGTGCTTTCTGTGCAGGCACGGGAAGTCGAACATCCGCTCGCCCTTTCCGAACACCTCGCCCTCCTCGATGGTCGTGGGCAGGCTCCTGCAGAAACGAGAGGATTAGTAAAATAACAGCTAACAATAATCAAAACTACATCCATCCTTGATCATCCATTTTTGCCGATCAATCAGTGTAATGCTAACCTGTTCAGCGTCTCTGGCAGCAGCAGGCAGACGAAGGAGCCCGCGAAGAACAGGACACCCAGGATGATGGAGGGCGCCGCCTTGAAGAAGGTGCCCAGCCAGAGGATGTAGGGCGCCAGGAAGGAGGCCGCGAATCCGGCCACGTGCACTGCCGCCACGCCCTGACCCCTCACGCAGGTGGGAATCAGCTCGGTGGCGTACTGAGATCCGCTCTCGTAGGAGATGGCCACTCCGAAGCGGGCGGCGATGGTCAGACAGGCCAGCAGAATGGCATTGTGGCTGTGCTGCTGGTAGGCAATCGCGATGCCGGCGGCGGCGGTGAAGAGTCCACCCACCAGCAAGGATCCCGAGGCCATGCCCTTGCGCCCAATGCGATCCTGCAGCAGGACCAGCAGGATACTCGAGGGCAGCACTGCCAAGGCGCTCAGCGAGAACATGATGAAGGGGGAGATGCCCATGCCCTCCACGTTTCGCGAGACGGCGTCGTAGCACAGGGTGATCACCATGCTGTGGATGAGAGGAATACCAGAGATAAGTATTTGTACTCCGTTTCTCCTTATATGTAAACCCACCTCTTGAAGAACAGGATGAGTGTGTTCTTGCGCATGCGCGGCGTCCTAAACATGTCCAGCAGAGTGGCCTGCTTCTTGTCGTCGCCACCCAGC